TCAACATAATCGGCCTACTGAGCGTACTATTCACAACACCATCATTCATCTTTAGATCCAGCATTGATTGTTGGATAATATTCGATCGAATAGACCACGTCCAGCAAGCAGTGAAGAAAATATAGCGGCTGTAGGTGAGAGTGTACACGAAGACCGTAGATAATCGATTCGGCGCCGTTCGCAGCAACTCGGACTGACGTATGGAACGACTTAACGCATTTTCCGTCGAGATCTTAAATTAAAAGCGTACAAAATACAGCTTGTGCAAAAACTAAAGCTAAACGACCTTCCCAAACGACATCGCTGGCTCAATGGGTATGTAAACAAGCAAAACTGCCGCATTTGGGGCGAAGAGCAAACTAAAGAGATTCAAGAGCTGGCAGATCTTGTTATATCACACCGTTAGATTTTTTCCTGTGGTGATATGCAAAGTCTAAAGCCTATGCGGACAACCCCGCTTCGATTCAGGCCGTGAAGCAAAACATCACGCGTGTCATTCGCCAGTTACCAGTCGAAATGCTCGAACGAATCATCGAAAATTGAACTCAATAGATGGACCATCTGAGACGTAGCCGCGGCCAACATTTAAAAGAGATAATCTTCAAAAAATAAAAGCCAAAGAATATTCTTTTGAATGATAATAAACATTCCCCATTAAATTGGAATTTTCTATGTTTTTTCTTTAAAAAAGTAGTAAGCCTATATACGAAATGGATCACCCCATATATACGAGTACTTAAAAGCTAAGAAAATTACTTACATATATAAATATATACCTGTTTGGGAGCATAGATTATGATATGTACTTAAAATATATGTACATGTATAGAAACATGGTTGACTGTCTGTAAATAACTATTGTACATATTAGAGACTAAGCTCGGTTGCAACCCGATATCTTGGGATCTGCTTAACCGATTTCAATCAAATTCGGTACATTCTTGTGCGTATTTTCTGGGTTATAGAGCGAAAATGGGCGAAATCGGATTACAACCACGCCTATTTCCTATATAACACCATTTTAAATTCCACCTGATTCTTTCACTTTCCACTATGCAAATCAAGCAAGAATGATTGTATCGGGATAAAACTTTGCGTGAATAATGCTTTTAAAGTGTGCCACCTTGTGACCAAAAATTGTCTAAATCGAACCAAACTGCTCAAGCCCCTACATACTGAATATGTGGACCCCAGTGCCTATAGTTGACTTTTTAAGATATATAATTGAAATTCATATAATAAAATAAATAAATGAAACTCGCGATAATAGTACGTTTTGTGTCAAAAATGGGTCGAATCGGATCAATACTTCCTTTAATATATAATTTTGCCAACACCTGAAGTAATTCCCTTGCAAGTTGCGAGAGTATAAAATGTTCGGTTACACCCGAACTTAGAACCCTAAGCTTAATTTTAATCTTCATATTGATACCATGGTCTTGAAAGCAAAAGCTGTCCTCAGTTTTGTCAAATTTTGGTCTAAAGAATTTACTGATCCGTATATTACTAAAACACTTAACACAACTTTGGTTAGACCTATATTGAAATATGGCTCTGTTGTATGGAACCAAATTCATTCTGACAAGTTAGAATCTGTTCAAACACAAATTTTTACTTTTCGCCTTAGGGTATTTCCGATGGGATTCTAGCGTAAGTCTACCTCCATACACTAGTAGTTTAAAACTTATTAATCTACCTACACTTTCTAGTCGTAGGGAAATGCTTTATTTTCTTAGTGAAAATCTTGAATGGAACAGTTTGCAGTTCTCTTCTCCTGTCTGAAATTAAATTTAATATCCCGGCTCGCCTTTCGAGGCAGTTTAGACCTTTACTGATAAAATCCTGTAGATCAAATTTTGAACTATCATGATTTTAATTCTCATTCCAGCACATTTGACTTATCTGACTCACTTTTCAAAATTAAAAAGACCTAATTGTTTTCTCTTCTTCTATCTAAATATATAAAAATGAAACCCGTTTCCCGTTGTCACGCCAGTTTTCTAATACTCTGTAGAAGGTTCTTATGGAAAAAAATATTAAGAAAATGTCTCAGAAATATTGAAAAAATACATTTAATTTTGGATATTTTAAAAAACGCGCGTAACGAATGTCATTGTCATTCACTGCCATGGACTATATTGAAAGAGCATCGTTCGTTCGGAAATGTGGTTACTTAATTAAATTCTATCGCACTAATTTACTAATTTTTTAAAATTACTCGCCACAATTAAATGCACCGACTTTGACGGTAATTTTAATAATACCAGTGATGATTTCATTTTATTGTAAGTATTTAATAATAATAAAATATGTATACTATGATGTAGATTTCAGAACGCAGTATACAAACTTCGCATAACCTATTTAGTAATCTGTTATAATCTGATACACATAACCTAACATAGCGCTAACAATAATTTTATTAAGTTGATAAAGTTTGTTTTGTTTTAAAGACTAAGAAGTTTGTTGTTTGCTAATAAGTGTTTGTTAATCACGGTAAGTTCACAACTTAATATCGATTTTTGGTAACTTTTGATGACTACACAATATTAATGAATTATGAAATTAGTAAAGTCCTTCTCAGTTATGGCGAGACCATAGAAATAGGGATTAATTTTTATATGGAGGATATTATATGTAGATTCCAGTTTAAATTGAATAGGTACTCATACCTAAGATAGGACAACTGTCAGCTATACAAAATAAAGTGGTGCATCGAAGCTACGCTATGACGGTACGAAGTTCGCCGGGTCAGCTAGTAATGAATAAAAATGTAACAATTTATTATATCGTAACTATAAATCTTAACTGTTGAAATTTTTGTTTCTGTAGTTGAGCAGTTTTAGATCTCAACACTTAAAAAACTAGGGTAAACGTTGGGTTAATATTATTATAACAAATATTAAATTTTATTTAACGCAGTCAAAAAACGTAATTACCAATAAAAATAAAAAAAGGAAAAACTTAACTTCGGTTGCACCGCAGCCATAATACCCTTCACAAATATAAACAATTCGTTACAAGAACTTTATTGCGATCGTTGAGTTTGTATGGCAGCTATATTCAATATATAGTGATCCGATCTGAACAATTTCTTCAGATATTGCATTATTGCTTTAGATAATAATCCATTTCAAATTAAAAAAGAGGTGTGCAAAATTTTAGATCGATATCTCAAAAACTTAGGGACTAGGTGGCGTATATACAGACAGACGGACATGGCTAAATCGACTGAGCTCGTCACGCTAATCATTTGGATATAACATTAACGTTTCTATAATAAAATATTGACTTTGAATCACAATAGTTACGAAATTTATTTGAAATGGTTTTTTTTTTTTTTAACTTTTGAGTGTTTAAGTTGCTTACAAAATATAAAAACCGACAATCTATTAATATCCTTGATGATCTCTATAAGTGAAGTGTCAGTATATTCAAAATGGAAAACAAGAATTCTTATAAATTTTGTGACCTGCTTCCTATCAGGTGATCGATTTCCAAATTTCGGTCATTTTATTATTAACTGCATTCCGACAATTCGCTCTTATTTCCTTTTTGTTTCTTACTTTAGCGCATACTGCTATGCATACTTATTCCTACACCCATTAATGAATATACATATGTATGTATGCACTTTTTAATGCAATCAACTCTCGTTACATGCTGTAGTAGTTCTTGGCATTGCAGTAGACTGTGTCATAAAACAAGGGGCACACAAAGAGGAACTAACATTTCGGAACAGTGCCATTTCGATGTCCTTCGGCTAGGCCGGTTGGGCACATAATCTGTACATAAGCACATATTCATATGTACACAGACATGCATATATGAATGTATCTATGCATATGTGTGAATGGCTGTATAATTGAATGGCAGCATAGTTGCCCCACATTTTTGCCACAGCCATGGTCCCGTTATATGTATAAGTGTCATACATGTCATATAGTTTTTTATACAGATAAGTATCTCTATATATAGTAAATACATATGTATGTATGTTTAGTTGTGTGTTTCTTGGTTATGAAAAGATTTTCACTTTCTTGATGGAATACATACAGACGTTTATAAATATTAATGTGTGCATACAATGCTTCCACTCGTGGTGACAACAGTGATGCGGTTGGCATGGGAAAATATAATATAAGTGAATAGCTGACAGCTTTATTGGCGACCAGTACAATTGGTTGTTCGATATCCGCGCATGTTTTGTAAATACCCTGGCTTGTAGGAAGAAGAAGAAAGGACGAAGAAGATGTAGACGTGCATTTCTTGGGATCAATAATGGACTTTACTGCAGTTAAACGCTGGTCGACAATTTCGTCGATTTATCGGAGTTATTGCACACTGTTGGGTGCACGATTTTGTCAAAAAAAGTGCTGAATTGAGGTAGAACTCTCCGGGAAAGTGTCAGTACTAATGTCGTATTGAATAAGATAACGGAAAATCGATAAAAATCGGCGTAAAATCATAATTAAAATCGTTTTAAGTACTAGTCCTATTTCTCTGCGATCTATTATATAGGCTCAAAACTAAAGAGATTTATCGAGACATCGCGATGTTCTCATCATTTACTCAGTAAATTGTCGAACTTTCGATACTAAGATGTATTAAAGAAAATTATCGATATTTTATATCGGCAGTCGTATCGTTACTACTAAAAACGGAAGAGAAATTATCAATGTTGATTTTGTTGTAGCGGCAGAAAATATGTCTGAAATATTTTTAAGGGATGCTGCCGAGTTGACTGAGTCCTTGGCCGGATAAAATTCCAGATCAGTTTCGATTACGTTAACCTGACCGTTGTGGAAACGGCTTTTTATTTGTGTTATAGTATCATAACATATGTAAATAAATTAAAAGCTAAATAATCTAATGAACCATAATTTAAAAACGGAAGCCCCAAAGTCCATACCAAACGCCATACGCAAAACTACGAATTTAGACAATAGTATTGCATCTTATAGGGAAGTAAAAGCACTGCTGAATTTGAGAATCAGCAAAGTGAATGCAGATGTCTTATCCACAGATATATCATAGCCTGGTTGGAGTTTGCGAAAAGCCATTTGAACTGACCAATATCAAAATTACGTAATATCCTTTGGACAGATGTATCGAAACAGGCGTTGTTTGGTAGGACAAGTTCTAGACAGTATGCCCGTCGACCCCCAAATACGAAGTATCTTTCAAATTATACATACTGTCAAGACAGGAATGCATGGTGGCCTTAAAAATTTGGTATGGGCATGTTTTTCGTATAGCTGTGTAGGTCCCATTTATACAATCGATGGGATCATAAATGAAGATGTGTATGTGAAGGTATTAAGAAACATAATGCTGTCATATGCCAATTGAAATATGCCTTTAAAATTAACTCTCCAGCAGGATAACGATCCAAAACACTCCAGCAAACGGCTAAAAATTGGCCTAGCCAAGAAAATATTAGTTTAATAATATGGTCGGCTCAGTCCATGGATCTCAACCCTATAAAAAACTTATGAGCATCAAACGCAATTTTTAAAAGCAATCTCCGACTTCTAAACAGCAGGTTTGGCATGTTGTTCAAAAGGAATGTGCGCAGATCAAAACTCAACGGTTAAAGGCCTATTTTCATTGGATCGGTAAGGTCCTCTACCCACCAAAATTAAAAATTATCTATTGTTATAGTGCATTGTCATTTAAGTTATAATAATCAGCATAATCAAACACACTATGAACTAGTTTACAAATCTTATCGGTACTTTTCGGCGAAGAAAATAAAAACTGCTATTTCAGTGAATAACCATAAATAGGCGAATGTGCGCAAAAATATCAAAAAAGCACAAAAAAGTAACAAATCTAATCTAATTTTTCTATTCTTTATATTCTATTTTACAAAAACAATGTACAAGCGATCAACTAACGAAAGGGAATATGCAAAAAAAAAAAAGTTATATATTTTCGCTTCTACTGCTATTTTGGGAACAGATATAAACGATAGAGAATATTTATATTAAAATTGGTTTATTGTGCCCTGAAATATGTAAAACGATGGTGATGTGTCTGATGTGCGATGGCGATAATCTTATCGCTTATCTACTTATATACATGTCGATACAATGTCGTTGGCATTGCGATACCTTGATATAACATAATTGAAAGCAAAGTGAACTCAATTCGACATGTGCGACAATTCGATATGTTAGACTTGGAAATGATGAAGAAACAAGCAGTATATTTCGAAAATAGTTCTGACATAGGGAATACAGACAAAGGAAGAATTCAGAGTTCTGTATTTCTATTAGTAATTTGCAAAAAGTGTTTTGTGAACCAAAGGGTTAGGTCATATGGTTGGATTTAGGTGTATAACATATTACACAGTATATATTATATGGGATGTTCTATTGGACCTAACTTTGTAAGATTATTTGAAATGTTGTTGATTTTCGAAAATATTTTTGACTCAGTCAGAGAAAAATTTTATCAAAAAAGCAAAAGTTTTATCTTCGGGTAAACATCTATCAGACGTAAGCGCCAACTTATGTTTTTATGCCCTGAACAGTGTATATTAAGTTTGCCAAGATATTTGTGACACCAAAAAGTAAACGTTGGAGACCCTATAAAGAATACATATATAAATGATCAGAGTAACGAGCTGAGTCAATTTAGCCAAGTCCGTCTGTCTATCCGTCCGTTCGTCTGTCTGTATTACGCCAATTAGTCTCTCAGTTTTTGAGATACTGATCTTAAACTTAGCATATAACCTTTTCTCACGAAGAAGCTGCTCATTTGTCGGAACCATCGATATCGGACGACTATAGCATATTGTTGCCATACAAAGCGAACGATCGCAATCAAGCTCTTGTATGGAAAACTTTTTCATTTGACGAGATATCTTCACCAAGTTTAGCATAGGTTATTGTCTAAGTCAACGGTGCAATCTCCGACGAAATTGTTCAGGTCATGTTACTATAGCATATCTATAGATGCCATACAAACTGACCAATCAAAGTTTTTGTGAGGTGTATTTGTGAAGGGTATTATAACTTCAACCGAAGTTGAATGTTTTTTCTTGTTTTCTGTAAAACTAGCGCATTCCCGGAAATACCTTGGCGTGCGGCTACAAAAAGCTGCGCAAATTCTGCAGCAAAGGTTGTAAACAATTCAATGACAATGCCATTACCTGTCTGGCTAAATTCTGTCACGACCTAATGGTGCTCAATTTACACAGCTGTGAGATACATAGCGATACACTTACAATAACAATACATGTACATGAAAGAAAAACAAACTTCTGTTTTCTCTTCACAGACAGTCACCGATGCTTCGATACGACAGATCGCCGCCATTTGTCCTAAATTACAAAAGCTTTGCATTTCGAAATGCGCCGAACTCTCCGATCTCTCGCTAATGACTCTCTCACAGAATAATCTATTGCTGAATACGCTTGAAGCATCTGGCTGTCGTAATTTCACCGATATCGGTTTCCAGGCATTGGGCAAGAATTGCAAATATTTGGAACGCATGGACTTAAAGGAGTGCAATCAGATAACCGATTTGACGCTGGCGCAGTTGGTAACCGGTTGTCCCAGTTTAGAAAAACTGGTAGGTATGAGTTGGAATGGCGCTTTTTCTGAATATTTTCAATATAAATAACTTATATTTGCGGTTTTTATTATTGCACAGACTTTGTCGGGGTCAGCTTTAGTATAACATCCCAGATTGCCGCCGGAAACGTATAGTTTTCGAGATATTTGCATTTTATGTTGAAATTTTCACAAATTTTATTTTAAAATTTCTCGATTTATGGTTAACTTTTCTTTTATATTATGCACTTATTATACACTAACACTTCACTACAATGCTTCTACATATTTATTTTATATTAATTATTTAAATATTTGCTTTAAATAAGCATTTTATTTTTGCACAATTTTCGTTATATGCACAATAACAAATGGGTTCCATGTTGACAGATAATAAGTGTTGCCATATTCAAACGAATGAAAGCAATCAATAAAAAAGAAATAAAATTTGTGAAAATTTCAACTTAAAATGCAAATATCTCGAAAACTATACGTTTCCGGCGGTTATATATATTCGTGATCTGGAGAATCTCCTCTATCCAACCATACCCCTCTTAACCCTGAAATCGTGGGATGATATACTAAAGTATCCCCCTTTGTCGCACTGTGAGCTTATCACTGACGATAGAATACGTCAGCTGGCCGCGGGTAGTTGTGCAGCTGAGAGTTTATCCGTTCTCGAATTGGATAATTGTCCATTAATCACCGATCGTACATTAGAGCATTTAGTATCTTGTCACAATTTACAAAGAATCGAGCTATTCGACTGCCAAATGATAACTAGTAACTACTACTAGATAATAGAGCTGATCGAAGTTTTCTATAGTACAGATCCAAGTCCTTAAGCTAATATACCTATGGTGAGAGAAGAAGTGGTCGTTAAAAACCCTCCAGCCCGAAATCAAGGGTGCCAGTTCTTATGAGACTAGGGCGTATTCAAGAACTTCCTCCTTGTCCGCAGTTACAAAAGTGGTGGAGTTTAAAAATAAATAGATCTTTGCTATAAATAAAATCAAAAAGTTACTCACCTCTAGCAACTCTGTAGTCTGACGATGACGATGTGCTCGTTGCTGAAATGTGGTTGAAGAAAAACATTAAGTTCATTTCTGACCAACAAACAAACTCTGGTTCTACTTGTATTATTGGTCGCTAGCAACCTATTGCATTTTGCCTTTAACCCAGAGATTGCTTCTCTGCCACGGCTGCTGAATAAAGGAGGACTCGGCTCGGACCCAGACTTGCTTACAAAGGTAGCCGTCGCTACCTGTTTTCACTCATCACCGGAAATGGCTCAATCCTCCTTTCTACGGTCAAACACCCCAAATTCAATGGAGTCTGCCATATTAGCGAATTCGCCAAACGTTGGTGCCGCTCCTGTCCGTGGCTTATTGTCGAGGGAGGCTCCCCCTCCTGTGCCGTCAGGCCCTTAGAAATGAAATTTTGCTGAATTTATGGCTCACTACTTCGAATTTAAATGAATTAATTTTAATTAATTTGTTTGTAATTTTTACAGAATCGTCTACCAAATACCGGCCATCGGCTTCGCCAGAAAATTCTTGTGCAAGGGCTCTACTGCTGATGTTTGTATATACATATATACTAGTACATTTCTAATTGTTTTGACGATCATTATGACATCGCTAACACTCACGTATCTCTTCTCGGTGATTTACTATGTTTTTTGAAAAATAACCAAAAACAACAAAATGACAACATGTATATGTTATGAAAACAAAAACAAACCTTATAATACTATATTTTTTATACATTTTTTTATAAAAAAAAACTGAATAAAAATATTTCCAAATTGAAAAAAAAATTATTTGTTTATAAAAAAGTAGAATAAATTTAACGTATATATTTATATCTCATTGGAAAGCTGAGAAAGAATCGTAACATTAGGCCGGCTAGTTCCTAAAACTGAAATTTTGAAAATTCATATCTCCAAAATTTTTCAAATTTTATCGAAATAAAAGAAAAAAGTTCCCAATATTTTGCCTCAAAGAAAAAATTTTTTTGAATATAAATTTTGGACGGAATGACCATATACATATATTTAATTGATTGAAATGTTAGGAAGATATAACACTTAAGTTGACAAGCAAAAACCCGAAAAAAATTTATAAAATTAATGAAGAGGTTTTTTTGCGTATAATTGGCAATTACTATTTAACACGCACATACATACACACATATTTATTTTCAATGTTTTTGCGCAAACGGTAATTCGAGTATTAGGACAAGAAGATACGGCTAGAGTTTGCTGAGGTGTGTGAAAATATTTTTTTGATTTTATGCGATTTTGCCTGTATTGGAATGGAAATTTTTAGTTTTTCTGTTACATGTTTTAATCGAAAGCGATATTTTACCTATATATACACACACATTCATACATACTATGCATACGGAAATATTTTATTTTTTATACATATGAAAATTGCAAAAAATGCACATACATACAAACATACATTCAAACAAGTAAGGAAAATCTAAGTTCGGGTGTAACCGAACATTTTATACTCTCGCAACTTGCAAGGATCAAAGCCCGGGAAATTACTTCAGGTGTTGGCAAAATTTTATATTAAAGGAAGTATTGATCCGATTCAAGAAATTTTTGACACAAATACGTACTATTATCGAGAGCTTCATTTATTAATTTTATTATATGAATTTCAATCACACATCTTACACATTGACCGATACTTTCGGTAAAAAGTCAACTGAGGTTCACATATTCAGTACCTAGGGGCTTGAACTGTTTTGTCAATTTTTGGTCACAAGGTGGCATACTTTAAACGCATCATTCACGCAAAGTTTTATCCCGATACAATCCTTGTTGCTTGATTTGCATAGTGGAAAGTGAAATAATCAGATGAAATTTAAAATGGTGTTATATGGGAAATAGGCGTGGTTGTAATCCGATTTCGCCCATTTTCGCACTATGACATAGAAATATAAAAAGAACGTTATACACATATACATATATGTATATATACATATGTAATTTGGTTGAAATCGGTTAAGCAGATCCCAAGATATGGGTTTTCACCTAAAAGTGATAAAATTTAATGTCTCTGGCGTGTTTAGTGCTTGATTTATCGCGCTTTTAGTAGTATCGTTATATGGAGTGGGCGGGGTTGTCACCCGATTTCACCCATTTACACCCTTTCGATAGACATTTGTTCTCAGGGAATTTTGTTATTATAGCTTTAGCGGTTTAGGAGATATGCACATTAAACCTATTAGAGGGCGGGACCACGCCCACTTTAAAAAAATTTAACTGCAGATGTCCCTCCCTATTGTGAACCTATATACCAAATAAGAGTCTTGTATCTTGTTGTGGGGCTTAGTTATGGCAATTTATTTGTTTTTGAATAATGGCGTTTTGTGGGCGTGACAGTGCCCCGATTACACCCATCTGCAATACCAACCGTCTTACGGCATCAAGAAACATGTGTACCAAGTTTTATAAAGATATCTCAATTTTTACTTAAGTTACAGCTTGCACAGACGGATGGACAGACGGACAGACGGACAGACAGTTACCGCGATTTCAACTCGGCTCTTCACCCTGATCATTTATATATATATAACCCTATATCTAACTAGATAAGTTTTAAGTGATACAAACAACCGTTAGGTGAACAAAACTATTATACTCTGTAGCAACATGTTGCGAGAGTATAAAAATAGATGCGTTTTAATCTGTAAGCCTTCATGCACGGAATGGACTATTTTCAAATGAATATACCAATGATTGGACTTTTGGTAGAATTGAAAAAAAGTAGATTTGAAAAAAAGTTGCGATTTTTATTATAAAATTGTGGGAACTATATATTGTGGGAATTTTCAATTTTTTATATATAAATAAATTTCCTATAAATTTCAAGCCATCCGGCCAAGGCCATTTTGAGAAAAAATGGAGGAAAATTTTGAGATAAACGCGTTTAAAGTTTCAAGTCCGCAACTCAGCGCTCCGAGCGCTCCTTCTTCTAATTGCTGTATCTTCGAATTTTTAAAAATCACTTTGTTAACGTATTCTAGACATGTTAAGAAAGCGGGTCACATGGGGTGACCCCCTTAATTGTAGACACAATAAGTGCTGACTTTAATTTTTGTAAAATCGTTGTAACAAGCTAGATTTATGTTGTGTAATTCACTCATATAACCTTACTAGGTAGAAAAGTTTTTTAAAAAATTTAAAATTTCGGAATTTCATATTCATTATATTCATAAAATAATCTTTGACTATTTGAATATATGTATTTATTTCTTGCAATCTTCGATTTCACAAAACTTGGTGGACGGTGAAACGAACAAACAACTAGTTTAAATAAAAAATAAAAATAAAAAACAGAGCGTATTGAATGTTTTTTTTAGTGAGCGGAAAATAGTTATTCTTATTGAAGCACAAAAAATATGTATAAATGCTGTAGGCCGAAAATTTTTTAGAGTGACTTACGACCATTGTAAGAAAATAGTAATAGTAGTTCCAAATATTGACTAACGGATTCTGCTGGTTGCAATAATTTTAATATATTTATTTAAAACAAATTATTAACTTTTTTATTATTTTTCTTTTGGTTTAGTCATTTACCATTGTACGATGTCTATAATACAAAATTTACGTATTATTGTTTTTTCTAAATTTTTTTTTTATGTTTTTTGTTAAGTAGTTTTATACTCCGATCCATTCGACCAATAAAGTATAAAACCGATTTCCGTTACCGTTTTGAAAACAACTCAAAAAGTGCAAAACAATTAAAATTATTTGGAATAAATATATAAATTTTCGAACACAAAAAAATTAACAAAAAAAAGGAAATAGTTTGCTATCAAATTAGAAACAAATGAAGACATATAAAAACTTAACAAATCACAAAACATATACAAATAACCAAATATGCAACATTTTAACAAAAACATACATAAGTATGTAGTCAAAAGGGCGCGCAAAGCAAAGCGTAACTTGAAAACAGTACTGTAATTAAACGTTTCTTCTTAGACCAACTTACATTTCATAAATGTGTATTAAGTATTAAAACAAAGTACATACGTATTCGTAAATACGTATAAGCATATGTAAAAAAAGTATTAGCGATAATAATATATAATATACATACATACATATATACTATATGATAACATGAATATTAGATTTGCAATAAGCGTCAAACAAAATTAAATTATAAAATTGAAAAAAAGAAAACAACAAATTATAATAAAAATAAATTATTTACACAAGCTTTTTATATACAACAATAAAATAAATATATATACAGCTGTTGACAGCTATTTAGAAATGTTCCCTTTTTATAGGTAGCTGATAAGTAAGATAATATAATGTTTCGATATACCGTTATTTATTTTCCTAAAAGTCTTGCATTGTCTGTGCTTCTCTATTTACTACTAAATTCGCTCAGTTTTGTAGTTGTGCAGTGGAAGTACTGTTAATTTTTTTACACATAGTACATGCGTCACGTTATACAAGTAGAAGGTGAATTAGAATTAATTAGAAACAGTTGTTTAAAGTAGCACAATTCCATACGGCGATAATTTTTAATAATAATTTTATTGATTTCTGGTAAGTATTTGTTTCAAAGTTGTTGTTTAAAATATAATTAAATGTTATATTCAAGCTTTGTAATGGGGAAAAGCAGCAGCTGTACACCTGCCCTACGCAGCTCCACTTTGGACCTCCGTTATTCTGGAAAGACGTACACAGAAATTGCGAATCAGGTCAAATGCCCCAAAAAAATAGGTTTCAAGGCCCTTACGCATACACAGAATTTTAAAACCATTGCCAATGTTGCACGCATAAAAATACCCCGGAAAACTTCAACAGAAATAGACCGCAGAGTCATTACCATCTCCCGAAGAGACCCAAAAAAGTGTTCTACTGACATTCTACGGGAAATTCAAGGCGAATATGATGTCCAAATATCCAGCGTTTGGTCGAATCTGGACATCACGGCAGAGCAGCACGCAAGAAGCCACTTCTAACTAAAATTCAAAGGAAACGACGCGTAGACTTTGCCAACTCTCATTGGTCTTGGACTACAAATCAATGGAAGTATGTCGTTTGGAGCGATGAAACAAAAATTAATCGCATAGGTCCTGATGGTCGAAGGTATGTTCGCCGACCAATCAATCAAGAATTTGATCCTCGCAATGTTTCGTGCGTAGTGAAGCATGATGGAGGATCAATAATGGTGTGGGGATGTTTTTCTTGGAACTGTGTTGGTCCACTCTATAGGACTGAGGGAATTTTAAACAAGGAGAAATACGTTGAAATCTTAAAAAACGTCATGTTGCCGTGGGCTGAGGAAAATTGCCTGTTATATAGAAATTCGAGCAAGATAACGATCCAAAGCACACGGCAAAATTGACACAAAAGTTTTTTGATGAAAATTCTACCAAGTTTTTGGAGTGCCCATCGTCCAGCCCAGACTTGATTCCCATAGAACATCTCTGGAGTGATGTTAAAAGAGCCGTCAGTACCAACAAAATCCCAAATATGGATGCCCTTCTTGATGAAGTTAGGATGGCATGGCAAGCAATACCTGTGGTGCGCTGTCAAAGTCTTATGGTTAAGGTTATGCAACAAAATACTAACTGAAAGTAAGCAAAATTGTGTAGTACTATTATTTTTTGCTGATCAAATTTTTTTCGTTTTAATTAGTTGTCGCACTCAAATCGTTGATTGGTATAAATCTTTGTAATAAAAACGAATGTTA